CGAGGAGAGGAGAGGAGAGGAGACTCGAGGAGAGGAGAGGAGACTCGAGGAGAGGAGAGGAGAGGAGACTCGAGGAGAGGAGAGGAGACTCGAGGAGAGGAGACTCGAGGAGACTCGAGGAGACTCGAGGAGACTCGAGGAGAGGAGAGGAGACTCGAGGAGAGGAGAGGAGAGGAGAGGAGAGGAGAGGAGAGGAGTCATCCTCAATCTAGTCAGACATTTACAAGCTGTTGGATGTATGGAGTTTAGGTAGCTAAGCAAATAGCAAGGATATCGGAGATCACACTTTTAGAATGGATGAGCCTCATCATTCCCTAATCCATGAAAGAATAAAAATAAGTGATAGAAAAGTAATCCTGTACATTTGAATCCATGCCAAACTTGAGTTTACAGGATATAATAGTTATCTACATAATACACTCCATGCTCAAACAAGATTTCGAGAATGAAATTTAAAATTAAATTGCATTATAATCTCAGTTGTCAAAACCATTTTCCCCTATTTTCAACAGGTCATCTTCCCCAGTTCATATTACTGTATTTCTTTAAAATAAGGATAGGAAGGCAGTAAAGAACATGCTCTATTCCTGTTCAATAAAATCATCACCTTACCTTGTTCAGACTATAAACATATACCTTCCCTTGCTCCTCTTTCTCAGTTCCCATATACATAGGAGCTCCAACAAGAAGAAGGTCTGTAAATGAGTCCCTGTCAATGTCGACTGTGGTGATAACGCCCCCAAAGTATGACCCAATCTGTAGGAAAATATAAAGTATACATCAGAGACAGAGTCAGCAACATCATCCTTAATTTCCTTTTCAGAGACCAACTTCTTGCATCAATGACAAATATTAACCACTAGGCAGAAATTTTCTTTACAAGCTAGATTTTTTTTTGTCTGTATGCCTGTAAAGCTTGTTTTCAGTTTTAGCATTTGTTGTCGGATTTTTTTTTTTAATTAAATGTTTTATTTATAGTGGGCCATTCAACTTTCAACTCCTCTGAGTCTGAAACTATAAATGGGTGATTTCTACCAGCTATGGGGATTAGGACCTCTTAAGAGAACATTGGAATAAGAGTACCTCGGGCAAGCTAGTTTTCTCTTCAAAAAACAAGTAAAAAAAGCTTGGGCAAAAGCTCTGAGATAGCTCAGTGCAGAGAGCTGCCAAAATTCTCAAGTTACTATTTTCACAGGAACAAAATCTACATGAAGAGATGGATACATTAACAAATTGGGTACAAGCTATAGGATTTATCTGATTACTTTCACTTCACAGATAAGCAAGATACCCTGCAATTCTTTCACACTTAACAGGACAAGCAGCCTCTTCTAGTCCAAGATACATCTCCTCTCACAGAGATGTTTCAAGTAGTCCAGATGTCTCAAACCTTAAAAATTACAGAGTCAGTCAGGCTGAAAGGGACCACTGTGGGCCATCTGGTCCAACCTCTCTGCTGAAGCAGGGTCATCCCAGAGAATATGGCATGGATTGCGCCCAGATGGTTCTTGAGTATCTCCAGTGAGAGAGACTCAAAAACCTCTCTGGACAATCCATTCCAGTGCATGGTCACCCACAAAGTAAAGCATTTAAGTCCCACGTTCAGGTGGAACTTCTTGCGCATCACTCACTGCCCCTTGCCTCTTGTCCTGTTGCTCAGCACCTGGAGCCTGGTCCCTCCTCTGAACCTTCCCTTGCAGACACTGACAGACACTGCTGAGGTCCCATCTCAGCAGTCTCTTCCTGAGGCTGAGCAGGCCCAGATCCCTAATACCTACTTTAGCTCATTGACTCTAAAATGTGTTTGATTGACTGACTGATTAGCTGAGTTGCAGACATCAGCTACAGAAGAAAATTAGGTAACCTGAATGCTCCTGAGAGAAGTTGATACTGTAGCCTGGGGAGATGAGAATAGGCAGTCCTCATAAGCATAGTATTATCTTAATAATACCATCCTTAATTATGCAGTTATGTGGGGATTTTTCCTCCTACAGCAACAGCTTTCAGTGAGCTCCTACTCTGTGTAACCAGCAACTATTCAATACTTCAGTCTATCCCACAAGATGCCCTTGCACAGAACCCTGCTTGTCAAAACTCTTTCCTGCCAGTGACATGCTCTTCCACTCAGCAGACAGACAAAATTGCACATACAGAGATGGCAACAACCAGTTTGACACTGGTTAAGATTTAACCCTCAAAGACAAAATTTCCAAAGATCTACTGAACAGTCTACTTCGCATTGCTAATTACACCAGAGGATCTGCCTAACTTTTCCTCCTGATCTTGCTTACAACTCCCAGTTTCATGTGCTCTTCTAATTAATTCTCATTTGAAATACTTATTATGTCTTCTGCTGTATTCCTTTTGTATGTTAATTGTGAACGTATACTTACTTGTTCTCCATTTAATCTCTGAATCACTTGCACCTCTTTTCCTTCCATCTTATAAACAATAACTTGGCCAGTGTGATTGTATCGTGGCTGTCCTGCTATGTACAGCACACCTCCAGGTGTCAGTGCTGAATTCACAGTATATCCTAGGAAGCAGAAAGAAATCAAGTTGTAATACTCACAGAATGCATCAGAAATACTTGCTGTGATTCAGAGCCTTTGTAAGGTTTATTCCACAACTAGATGTTTACCCCTATTCATGGCAGAAAGCAATAGCAGTTAATTATAAGGCCTTTTTTTATTTATCTAAAGCCTGACAGTGAGCACACTGGGTTGTTAAATCTCTTCCCAGGCTGGTGAGCCACGTTAACTTAATTCTCACACAGTGTAAGAAATAACTCATGAAAAGCTCCTTTCAAAGAAGAGTTGTCACTGGCCCACTGTCAAACTCACCGAGTCTTCAAAAAGTGACTCTGGTTATTTTGAACTCTGTTCTGCTTAACATTAACAACAATTTAACAACATTGGTGAAAGAAGACTTAGAAATTTTGCAGTGAAATCAAAACTGTGAAAGAGTTGAAAGCTTTATAGGAGGATACAATCTTAGTTTAAAAATTACCTAATTAGAATTGTAATAAAAGGCAACAGCTAAAGGCATTTGGCAATGAAGAAAGTGTACTTAGGGAAAAAATCAAAATATTCTAGCATTGATTCTTTGTCAATGGAAGTGTGACTTAAATGAGATAACAAACAGAACCATGAGGTATAGAAAGCAAGACCTAGACCAGAGAGCAAGGCTACTGAAGCTTTTTGGTAAAAAAAATAACCTGCCAATAGGCAAAACACTATTACAAAAAAAGATGTTGGTCTTGTTGGTTTTGTCCACCGAGTGAGAGAAAACAGCCTAATTTTAAGAAAACATTTGGACTTAATATTGTATAAGACTTTTTAACTTATCAAGGCATAGAAAAACTTGATAAGAATACTAGAGGAATCTGTGAAATTTTTTTTAAACAGATTGAACATCTCTGTTGAGAAAGTCTAGATATACTTAGGTCTATGTTTGGACTAGTTCTCTAGTTTTAGGAGTTATTTATTTTTTTAAAAGAACATGAAAATTAGAGAGTAGACTTTCTCCCAGGCTGCTGGAATATAAAATATTCTGTAAGATACTCCTTTTGAATGAGCTTTGAGAGAGGTCTTGTAGCATTTGTTGAAAATTGTTGCAAGGTGGGTTATTTTTCTTACCTAGGTAGGCTGCAAGAGGTTCATTTCTCTCTGAACGCCGGTCACGAAAGGTGTCATTAGTTGGCATTGAAATACCACTGTCTTTCACCATGAGCACTGTGCCATTCCAGTCATACGCTCCAACTGCTCCGAGCATGATCCAGTCCTTGAGGAGAGGAAAACAAAAAGACAGTTCTCTACATCCATCACCTTTTCTCTGTGAATCATCTGTAGACATTCATGGTTCAGGATGCTCACATCTGGGTAATGCTTCCTGCATACTTACATAGCTGGTCTTGTTTTTCCTATTATGTTATGGATCCTACAATCATAGGGTCACAGAAAGGCTTGGGCAAAAATGTCCTCAAAGGTCACCCAGTTCCAGCCCCCATTGCCATGGGCAGGGATGTCACTAACTAGACCAGTTTGTTCAGAGCCCCATTCAACCTGTCTTTGAACACCTCCAGGGATAGGGCATCCACAGTTTCCTGGACAATCTGTTCCAGTGCCTTACTTTGCTCCATGTAAAGAATTTCCTCCTAACATCTGATATAAACCCCTGCTCCTTTAGTTTAAAACTGTTTCCCCTTGTCCTATTGCTAGCTACCCATGTAAAAAGTCATTCTCCCTCCTTTTTATCAGCCCCTTTTAAATACTAGAAGGCTGCTCTAAGGTGTCCCTGGAGTCTTCTCTTCTCCAAGCTAAATAACCCCATCTCTCTCAGCCTGTCTTCACGGGATAGGTGCATCAGATCTCTGGTCATCTTTGTGGCCCTGTGTCTTTCACCTTAAAACATTGCCCCTTGTTCTGTCACTAAAGGCTCTGGTAAAAAGTCTTTCTCAATCTTTCTTAACATATTTTTAGGCTATTTTCCTGACAGAAAATGCTATGGGAATATTAAGTTTAGAGTTCATGTGAAGTATATACGTACTCTCTTGAGCTCTTGTTGTTCATACTCTTTACATACATTTTACTCCAAAACTTCCAACAGCAAACAGGACTATACAAAGAAACCTGAAACCTGAATTTATTCCAAATTCATAGAACCACCAGCAAAAATCCACTTTGTAAAATAACTTCTATATTCAAACAATTTGTTTACCTGAGAATAATGAGCACTGAAACCAGCTTGAGACATTTCCATTTCAAAAGAGGAGGCCTGCTGGTCTGTTGTTGCTATTAAACAGAAAAAAAATAAGTTTCAAGAATAAATTTGTTCCAATCTGAAAAAGTAACTGAAGAGTGCTATGAAAATGATCTTATGATAGTAAAGGATAGCACAATTAACTAATCTATTCAGTGAATATAGTTTACCATAGATTTTTATAATAAACACAGAAATAAAGACCCATGTTGAATGCTACTATTAAGTATGGGAATTTCCATTTTAAAATCATGTCTCAGAACTTGTCAACAAAGTTTCTGGACTAAAACTGACCAGATTTGAACTCAGGCTGTTGGTAAGTATGTTTGGAATGTTTGATTAATATGGTTAAGCCATTTTCCACTTGAGCTAAGTGAACAGTAGAACACCAGCCATGTAACCCTGGCCTTGTATTCAAGCAACTAAAGTTTTGTAGGCAGCTGGAGAAACTTTAAATGAAAAACACTTGATGTTTGTATGAACCTTTGCAAAAACAACACAGGAAAATCTCTGCTGTCCAAGATTCATAAGCCTCAGTGAAGTGGTGGGGAATGGTAATCCTGCCCAGACAATTACATGGAGATCTCATTCACTCAAATGACTTTGTATAAAAAAGGTATCAGGTGATTTTTTACTAGCTTCAGTATCTTGTCAAGTAGTCATATGCTAGTTATTAAACTTTGATGGTCTGTTTTGCTCCCAGGTAAACTTGAAATACCTTTGGAGAAGAAAAAGTTCTGTCTTTCCTCCATTTAAAAGAAAGATAACCAGCCCTTAATAGTCAAGCACTATTTTGCCACTCTAAGCAGCCAAGGGAACTATATTCTGCATGTTGATTCTTCTTTGAGAGAAAGTAGAGGCAAGCTATGAAATCTGCTCTGATGCTGGTCCAGGAAGAGTTCACAGTTTGCTACCAGCTGAGTGCTGCAGCAAGCCTTCAGTGGTGTGAATGAAAATGAACCATAGCAAGCACAGTTGCATGAATTTCAGGCATCTGGACTATTAAATAATGGTGAACTTTTGATACTCAGCAACTAAACCCCAGCAGCTGCTCCCTGGGACATGATGACTTTCCTAATTACTGCAATTTACAGCCAGTTGTAGGAAGGAGACATGATCTCAAAGTGTTTGACATACAAACTTAGACTATCATGTTTCACAAGATGTAGCTGCTTTGCTAAATCTGAAAAAGTAATTTTTAGACATATAACTCTTAAGCTGCACATCTGCTGATGAACAATATTTTCATGCAGTAAAAGATGCCCCTTAATGAGCTGAGAAAGGCAGGATTCTCACAGTCTGAGGCAGAGGACAAAGCTGGTACTGTTGGTGTGTGCAGCTCAAAATACTACTTAGATAATGGCCCTTAGCCTAACTTTCCATTCAGTTCTAAACTGCCAAGCATCTTACAAAGGATATTTTGTGAAAAAACATTTGTGCCTGCCTACGGGTTGGATAAAACATAAAATTGCTGTTAAAAGCAATGTCCATGCCATGAGACACAGAGGCATATGAAAAAGATTATGTGTAAAAATCCACTGGCTGTCAAGCAGGAGTTTTTGTTGGATTTGATTTTTCAAATCTCTCTCAATTTTTCTTTGCATTTTTTGAAGAACTAAAATGAAAATAAGAAATCCAGGAAAAAAAAAAATCAAATGTACTACTACACAAGCAAGAAGCAATTGAGATTGAGAATTTAGACAGATTCAGATATGAAATTTCAACAACCAAGGTTCTTCTGACGCACAGAAGTCACTATGTACATAGCTGATTAATCTCCAATTAAACACATCCAATAAACTGGCTTGAAAGCTGCATGGTACATAATTAATCTGCCTGCTTCCACCACCAGAAAAATGCATGCATGGACACAGTTGTTAATCTAGAATACAAGTGAAGAGCTTGGGATAGGGCAGGAAACTATGCCTGAAGAATCAGCATAAATTGACTCAGTCAGCATTATCTAGCTCCAACCTACTGGAGCAGCTTGACCTTGCTATGTTTTGATAAAAAGCTAAAATCTCATTTTCATTTCTATTCTGATTCTCTTGCAGACAGGTTTCTGGGACTTAGGTGGAGGAGGAGAATTTTCATGTCTCATGTTTCAGGTGTCTTATATAGAAATCTTAGTGCATCTCTGAGTTCCTACAGAAAATCTGCAAACCAAGAAGCCTTTTGGCAGTAATGAAATTATTTGGATTTCCAGAAACTCAGTCATGTTAGGTCTTACATACTTCATCTGTTGTTGTCAGGTTAATTAACTTATTCTATATTCATTATAGCTAATGGACAAAAAACTAACATTTTATTCTGACAATGAAATGTAAATATTTTTCTCACTTTTTAAGAAGTATAAAGGACAAAATGAAGACTAAGTTTTCAATTTCTGTTTGAACATGCCCACTGAAAGTGTATTCTTCCTAGTATAAAGGCTTAAGAAAAGAGCACCTTATTCAATGAACTTTGAAGTACTCAATTACCCTAAGTAGGCTAAACTTTGTGCTTTAGAGAGACTAGATTCTCCTCAAACTATTTTTTTTTGCAAAGCTGAGGAAACCAAACTGTCCAGAAAGTAAAAAAAGAACATATAAATTATATTTTAATAAACTATTTATGGCTGAAAATATTTAGTAATAGCTGAAAACATTAATATTTGATCAAACTAAATAATACATAAAAAAAGCCCCAATCTAAATATGTGTGATAAATGTAACTCCATTGTAAAAAAAATTGAAAATACTGTCTCAATTTTGTACATTCAATATTTTCTTTTGTTCCAGCTATAAACTACTCTATTGTAGCTGCTTGGAAAGTTGACGTGTTGAAAAAAATAGTCCAAATAGATGGATGTTTTCTTTGTATTACATGAATCCCATCAGAGTTGGCCAGAATAATTTATAACTAATAAACTCTGTCTCCTCTTACCAGTAGTGTACTTGAAACAAACATGGTTTGGACAATGTTGTCTCGTTTGGAAGGAGAATATAAACAGACATTATGAGAGAATGACTTTTCTGTGTTACAGTCTGAATACTGTGAATCTTCCCAAAGGAAAATTATATCTTGCTAACTTTATACAGCAAGCCCATGCTAACTTTTAGAGCAAAGTGATATGCTGTAATTGATAAATAACCAAAGAGAGACCCTAAACAACTAGGCAGAAAAACAGATGATCATGGGGTAATTGGGTTATGATCTGGCAATATTTTTTACCTAAAAGAGGGCAACTTCCTATTTACCACATTAAAACAGTTCTGGATACCTACCCTTTCAGGCTATTGTCTGTACAGGCTCTAAGTCCTATGAATATAGTCACATCTGTATTTACTATTTTGATGTGTATTATAAAGTCTTTTTGTAACAAGCATGGAAGAAATAATTGCACAATAAATTTAATGCAGCACAATTCAATCCAAAGGAAGGTAAAAACAGGTGTTCTTCTATTTGTTTCAGTTGTAATACAGGCATAAAGTAATATTTTAAATAATGTCATACCTTCCAGGGCAAATATTCTCTCTCCAAGTGCTTCAACAATGGTATAAAGAGCTAATTCATCTGAGACATTGAAAAAATGCTTTTCAGTAGGCTTACTGGCAATTGATCTTATTTCCTCTACAAATTTCTCAGTGCTTAAATTTCCTCTGCTGTAGCTGCCAAGAATCTAAAGAGAATATAAAAAAAAAAAAACCAAACACAAAACAAAAGACAAATATATATTTCATAACCTGTTTAAAAAGATATCATTGAGGTAGGTTGCCACAGACTAGTGGAAAATCATATCTAACCTTAATTTGTTCTATTAAAACCTCACTCAAATTAATTTGAAAGCATTCTTTCTCAAGGAGAACAGAACTGTATGACAGCTCAGTTGTTTGAAAATACCATTTGACAGGAAACAAAGGAACTCTACGGTGTGATGTCTGCTATCCTCAACTGTACTTTTCACCCTTCTTCAGAAAATTCTAATAATTTATCTTCTGACTTGTTGAAGTAGGCCAAAGTTAAGAAAAAACCAAGAAAACACTGCCCAACCCAGAATTACACTGGGTTCTGCCAGTTCTTATCATAACGTGCTATACAGTCAATTAATGACAAGCTGATTAGGCATAGAATAGTCCTTTATTCTGTGAAGATTTGCACTATAAATACATATAAGAACAATACTTGCATTCAGTGTTAACAACTTCAACACAACACAAGACTTTAGATTTGGTTAGTAGTTTTAACAACACTGCTGTAACAATTCATGATACCTCAGAAAAAAACACCTCACTTCTCTAATTCCCAGACAAACAGATTTTTTTTCTTTTGAAAAGGGCTCTATAGACTAAACTTGATTTGAGAGGGAGACAAAAAACAAATTCCTATGCTCTAGCATCTCAGCCCACTGGATCAATTCAAATTTGGTTCTAAACTGGGACATTATATTAAAATTTTTTTGCAGTGTCAAGGACAACTTTTTCTTCAGTTACCTCTAATTTTTTGAAGAAAACCACTGAAAATCTGTGTGCTGCTGGACTCAACTTCTGTCTTGTATCTTTCTTTAAATCAAGTATAACACCTTTCTTTAAGTTTTGTGTTTTCATACCACCTTATTTTACCAAAAAATAAGATAGCAAAACAAAGAAAGATCACAATGGAGAGGCAACAAACCATTGTCCCTTCAAAATTAATAGCAGCAAATAGAAGATTTGTGTATAAAATACACAAATATAGTGGAGTATTAACACTAAATCCATAACTAATGCTTTCATATTTCTTGATACGGGTTAACCTCTATTCTCATTCAGCTACTGTTTGCTCAACATGAAAATGACAGCTTTAGAATGCAAGCATACAACACAGACATAATGAACATTTTTTTGATGGTTTACATTTGCTGCTTTTTTTTTTTTTTAATAGGTAATGTTTCTGCAGAAGTTGCTTAGAATTGTAATAGTCCACTTTGCTCAGTGTTGCTTTTAACAAAAAAGGATTTGATTTGTCCCTCAAACTCTTCCTCCTTTTTCCTCACACAGACACACACCTGTCATCATCTGGAAGACAGATAAATTGCTTTTCTTGTATGCTATAAAATCAGAAAGCAAATTTTTAATGGTTTTTTTTCCCCAGCTTTTTCCTCTCTGAAATAATTGTATTTCCATAAAGATTCTGTGAAATGAACTTCTAAAACTGAAATTACATTTAGAAGATGAAACATGCTTTTAAGATTCTGAATTTTCCCATTAAATTTCACTTACAGCAATAGCAAATCTCTGAATGTTTTCATCTTCACAATCATCAATCACTTCTTGTAATCTGTAGTTGTCATGTGATTCCCCATCAGTCACAATAACCATTACTTTTTGTACTCCTCTTCGTGCACCGTGAGCCTCAGTAAAAGCTTCTTCCCTAAAGGGACCGTAAAGTGTTTTGGAGAAAGGCAATGTCAGCATTTAGCACATGCATCATATTTGCATAGCCAACCATAAACTAAAAGATTTTATATTAACCAGGAAGCAGGAAATTGAGATTAATGTTAACCATGAACAAATTCAAACAACTGCAATTGGAACTTACTTGACAGTTCACAGCCAAAGTTTCACAAGCATTCATTCATCGTTCACTCGAGAGCAATAGCAGAAAATACAAACCTGGGTAGTGAAAAATTCTTTCCCTCTACAAATTAAATTCTGGCACTTTAAAACAGCTTTTGGCATCTTAAAAAAAAAAAGACACCCAGCCAACACCCTCCTTTCCAAAATCCTGTGTAGAAAACCCTCACCTACTTCCACCCTTTAAAGCAGCACTTTAAGTGGTCAAACTACTCAGCTACCAGCACACCTCTGGCACCTATGCTAATTAACACTGGGTGTTGGGGATGTGGCAGAAATAGGTTGCAGGTAAGGTTGGGGCACCCACTTGAATTCTACAGTTGCAGATGGGCAAACAGGCTCTGAGGTTTTGGGCAGCTGTTCACCCAGACTCTGGACCTGACAAGACAAGGCTGGGTTAGGGCTCTGAAGGAGAAGGAAAGAAGCAGGGCTTCCTCTTTTCAGAAAAATACCATAGGATTCTAGGACTGGCCACATGAGTGAAAGCTGAAATTTACCACTGAAATGGCCAAAGGGGGATGACTGTGAGAACAAAAGAAGCTTTTGCTGACAGTTTCTGTATGTACAAGCCTGCAGTAGTTCATGGTACAAAGGGGCTTTCTGAACTAGATGTGGTTTCTGAATACTTGGCAATTCTCAACTGGCTCTGCTTTTGTGAACTTCTTCAGACTTCTCAAGCTTCTACTCGTATCTCAGGAAAACCTTAATATATAAGAATTCAATTGTACACCACATCAACAAAACTTTGGTCAGATAATCAAATTGTTCATCAGAAGGTTGCTGCATATTTCACTAAATGGTTGTTTGTAAATAGTGACTGCAAACTTTTGTGGAATAAAAGCATGCTTTTGTGGTGGAAAAAACAAACCCAGAAAAGAAAAGATACCAGGACACTGTTGTACAGTTTGAAATTTTCTGAGAGATTTCACATTTACTGCCTGTTCTGTGAAGCTCAGATTTCATTTTTTCTCATAAAAGAAGCATTTCTAAATACCGCTATTGCTACAACACATCTTTAATCTCACAATGATCAAGAAGCTTCAAAAACTTAGGATATAAAATTGTTAGGCTTTCTGACAAATGTGGGCCCAAACACTGTAATAATCAACTTCAGAATGAAAACAAATTAACATTAAAAATTCTAATTTTTTGTTTTCTTCTTCTGAAAGAAATTGATTTTCCTTATCCCTCTACATACACCTTCCTCATAATGATGCTTGCTTAGCTAAAATGAAGTCAGTTGTTAGCCATGCCATGTTTTTAAGACATAAAATCAGAATCACCCCCCTGCCTGTGCTTGTTTCTCCCATGTGCAGGACAACATCTGTGTGCCTACCTGGCTGTGTCTATTCCCAAGGCTGTCATGGTTTGTGTGCCACCTCGCTGGCGTATTCTCGAGGCTGCAGCCATCACATCTTCTGTTGTTGAGTATGTATTCAGGAAAAATTCATGGACTACAGTCTGTCCATACTGAACAATTCCAACCTGAAACACACAGTTCATGTTTAAAACCAACTGAACTTAAAGAAAATATCCCTGCCTCTTGCAGCAGGGTAAATGTCTGTACTTACAGCCAGGAGAAGAACTGAACTCTTTGTGTTTCCTTCAGCATGAAACATCTTTATGAATTTGGGCAAGACTAGCTAGATGACAGTCTCATGAAATATTTTGAAGTTTCTAAATTGCATTTATTAAAAACTGGAATAAAGCCAAAAGCTGTCTCAAATCCTTGGTCTTCCTGGATTGTGGCAATCTGAATAGGAGCTCTGCTCTCCTCTAGGCCAAGGCAGACCAATGCCCCAACCATCAGTCGCAGCTCCTCAAAGCTGTTTTCCTTATAGCATATAAAGTCATGGCTCACTCACAACTCTCTTCATTCCACTCAAATAGAATATTCCTACATCCAATGGTTTATTTACCCTAAATTGGGCCTAGAAACAGGAAGACCTTTATCTTAACTCTTATCTTGATGAAGACAGCAGGGACATCCATGACATGCATGTTCTCCCAGCAGGAGATAAATTGAAGTATCACCTGACAAGTACCAGAGGGTACAACATGAAGGAAATGGTTTTTTGGATGAGGAGGGTAATGTAAAGCTTATAGATGACCTTAGCAGGATGAGTCTTTGTGCAGAAGATCAACACAATATTGTACAATAACCACAAAATGCCTGAGGAAATCAGCCGCAAAACCAAGAGTGGAATGAAAAGACGAGAAATATTCTTAAATATTAATTAATTTCTCCCATTCATCTCTGTCAGCTTTAATATTTTGGCAGGTTCCTGACAGCTTTTACTGGGAAGAAGTCACACAATGTTCCATTAGCATATTTCAATTTTACATTACACAAGGCAATTTATAGGTGTTATTTAGGATAATGCAGTATTACGTGGCATTTATGTCTCACTCATCTATTATTAAAAGCACTCTAGCATTAAGGTATTGAAGATCAATAAGACCTCTGGGATGTTTTTTGCCATCATATTACTTTAGAAATGGCTTAGTATGTACTTTACAATTGCTTTACAGGGTTTTTTTTTTTAGGTATTTTCATGGCCTCTCAGATTCTGCAAAGTACTTGTTTGCTTGTAGCAGAAGTGTTAGAATTGTATAAATATTTCACAGTAAACATCATAACGTGATCATTATGAAATGCTAGTTACATATGATTATGGGACTATAATTATAATGGCACGTGATAGCAAAATCTACCCCATTGAATTTCCATATCTTTTTGAAAGCACAGATCTGGGAGAACTGATGTAGACTCAAAGCTACAATGAGTTTCTGCCTTTAAGGTATTTGTCTCTTGGAGGCATGCCCTCTCCCATCTGCAGCAGAGAGAATGTAGAGGCTGCAATGTTCCTGTGAGCAGCGGGCTATTACCCCTGTGCAGTGTTTACAGAACCGAGCAGGGCACACTCTGTATCATCACTCAGAGCATTCATGTGGCACTGAATAAATCACAAGCTGAAGATGAAATTTTTAACCTGTTCCCTCCAAGGCAGCTATTTTGTGGCGCGCATCTAAAGTGACACACTGCATTATCTGAATAGGATGTTGTCAGTCTTTTAAAAAAAACTGCTGTGCACTGGTGATAAACAAGAGATTTGCATCATGCTTGATTTACTGGAGAAGGAGTATTGGCTTAAGAATTCCAGTGCCAGGCACCAATTGTAGCCAGAGACTATAGTGTGCTGGGAAGCTGTCTGGTGTGGATTCATGACTCCTTCTCTGCAGCTTTTGAGGTACCAATAATTAAATCATCTATTGACTGCTGCCAGTGTGAAAAGCATCTGCCAGTCTTTCACAATTCCAGAGACCCATGTTGGTGTTGTCATTTTCCTAAAAAAAGATTACAGGCTGACACCGAGTTGCATCATTTCCTGTTTGAAAGGAAATGTCCATGATCACAGCAAGTACACATTTTGAGCATTTCCTTCTCAGGAAGTGAATGGGAAGAACATCTGAGCCTGAAAACTGTACTATGCAGCATAGCTTGTAAATCAGGAAGGAAGGGGGGCATGTGGTTATCTTATGGGATACAATTGTCAAGTGCGACCCTTCCTTAGCACTAGCTTTGAAAACACTGATCATCGCGTTCTACATACTCCATGGCTTCAAAGATGAACCACTCCTCAATAAAAGGTAACAAAAAACCTCTGAGAAAACCCTACTAGGTTTCATGTTCCAGTCTCCTACAGGGTCACAGAATGATCACTTTATAAAATTAGAGTTGTATTCTATATAACAGTAGAAAATATAACAGTTAGACAGCAATGAAGGTTTGAAGTTTTGTAGCCTTTTCATCCTATGAAAAACTAAAAGCAGCCCATCTACATGACACAAATGTGCCTTTATGGGACTTCAGCAAGCCCCTGAGAATGATGTTTACAGGCATCATATGTTTTGATTTGCTTGTTTAATTTATATCTGGAAAATGCAATAGTACTACACAGAAGGACATAATTCTGCTCTACTCCAGAGAACCTATTATTTTTCCCAGCATTACTGACCATAATCTATTGAACATTCTTGTAATTCTTAAGTTTATGTTCCCTTCCCTAGCATTCCATGGCTTCTACATTACACAAGGGAATAATTCTTTAATTGTCCCCAGTTCCTGTGAAAAGTGTTGTACAGAGAGAGAACAGGCCAGTGATGGACTGTTCTACTTTGGAACAAAGCAGTTCTCAGGGCTATGATTTATTGTTGTCCTATAAATGAATACAGACCCTTATTTGGAAAGTACATTCTGGTATTCCCAATAAATTATTAAGCTAATCAATTTGCCAAAAACTAACAACTAGAATAACAAAATGAAAGGAAAACCATTTGGTACATGAAATCAAATGTTAAGGTTCTCAGCATTGGGATGTAGAGAGAAATCAGAAATATTTTTGGATATACTGATACTAAATGTAAAAGAAAAGCAGAGATGGCTTGGGAAGCATTAATGGATTATGAATTTTTTAACATGACATCTTTATAAAGACATCTGAACAAACAACACAAGAAGTAATTTTTACACATTTTGTTTACTTCAAGACAGAAATTACTTGTAAACTCTTGAAAAAACCTTTCTTCATCCTTAATCTTTGTAATACCTCTTAAAAACACTTCTGTTCTTCTGAAGACAAAACTAATCATAAGATATGATTAATCATCTGGAGAAGAGGAAGGGAAGGAAAAAAATACCATAAACTTTGACTTTCTGTATCTGAAACTTTAGGCTTTCATTTTCAAATCTGCCAAACTTGGGACACTGAGTAATTTCTCTCAACTTTATACAAGTGTAATGACCATTGTTCATGGAGGAGGTAAGTGGGAAAAAAAAAACCTCAAAAGCCTCTAATCAAAACACAGTTTTGAACAAGTCACACCCAATCTGCTAAGGAGTTATTCAGTAATCACCTCATTCCTTTCCTGTGGAAAACAATCTTAAGTCAGTGAAAGTCCACTGATTTCTACACGCTCAGTAATAAAATATTAAATTGAAAAAATCAATTTAAACAGACAAGAAGTAAGTTATTGTTCCTATACTTCTCTTCTGGGCTCCCAGAGGAGAAGGGATAAATAAGCCTGCTCTGTTGTTTCTCCTCTTCCCTATTGTATAGTCATTTAAACATATTTTCTGAGAAAGGAGACAGTGTGGGTGGAGGAAAGAGTATAAACTCCTTACGAACTTCAGATGCACCAGGGTTCCCAAGCAGGGGGCTCAGAGGAGAAGAGAGAGATGAGATGCATTTTGGGGAAGGAGGAAGGTAAGAGGGACTGAGAAAATTCCACTGAGCTTTTGTCATCCATTTCCAGTTTTTCAGCCTCTCTCCTCCTTATCCCTTTCTTATCTCCCTCTCAAATGTTTCTGCTCTGTAGGAACCAGATGCCAAGGCTGACGTCCTCAAGTGAATATGTGTACGTGTGAGAAGAAGGGTAGCTATGCCAAACTGTGGGCACCAGGGATTTTGTAGGTGGAGATGGGAGGCTGCTGGACTGCAGGCCAGAGAGGGACCTTCTGTGCATGAGCTGAGCCACACAGATGAGGCAGTATTCCAAAACTGAACATAACAGAGGTGTGGCATTGTAAAAATTTAGGAGTTGCTGGGTGAGCTAGAGGACTGAGGGTGCAGTAGAGTTGATTCCCCTGCATACCACTCCCATGAAGACCTTTGGGCAGAAGACAGTGATGATTTCCATGCAGCCAATGCCCTATAGTGGGAAGTTCAGATTCGAGTATTTTAAAATGGCACATGTTTGAGTAATCATCTGTTTAAGGGAAGAGAAAGAATTTTTTCCTTTCTGCTGAATTTGACAAAGCATTTTTCCTTCTTCCTCACAATATCTGAAGAAAAGTGTGTTTAAGATAACTGGATATGGCTGTGATGTTGACAGTTTCTAAGTAATTTTATGAGTCAGTGTTCAGCATAGAAAACAGTTACCTGGGTGGTAACTTGAAAACCCCAATTAACATGGAACATTTTGAGAGTAATACTCTCTGCAGACATCTTCTTACAGTCTCCATTGTTAAGGCAGGATCTGAATGCTAGGAGCTAACCCAAAGTTCCAAAACTGCCTGTAGCATATAATTTATTACAGGAGGTCCTGGAAAATCCTTGATTTTGGGAGGCAGAAAATAGAGAAAGGAAAGGAAGAAACAGTTTCTTCTCTGGATGTTAATAAAGCTCTTTGTGTTAATATGTATCCCAGAGTCAATGTTTCCCCCTTCCCAGAGTTCTCTTGGAACAGATATTTACATAATCTGTTCAGCAGCCTGTGGGACATATGCCAGATCCTCAGGGGGGTAATTGGTTGTAGCTCCATTAATTCTGATGGAACCACAGTGATTTATAGCAGCTGGGAATTTGGCCCTCTCCACTTATTATATAAATGCAGCTTCTGCCATTAATAACATACAGCTAAACAGCCACTCGTTAATTAGGATCTCAAGGTTTAAAAGCTGCATGCCCAGTGTTCCACAGTACTAAGAACACTGCTCCAAAAAGCTTACAATCAAAGACTGTCCAAGCCACGCATGTGTGCCTCAGAAGAGCAGAAATGACCTTTGTGCAATGAAGTACAAAGGAAGACAAGAAGGGGCTGTGGAGAGGAAGGAAGTGGGAAAGGACAGTGTTCAAACAGCCTCCCTTAATGCACTTAACTTTTGTTTCTAGGTTAGAAAGTTGGTTTCTCCAGACTGCCTGAGCAGTGGGGGGAGGGACAGTCTTCCTGACATTGCTGCTTGATGACTGAATACTGACTTAGTTGTGGTTTCAGCTATTTTGCTTTAGTATCCTGCTGCTCTAAGTTCTTGGAATTGAAGAGGTCAATAGATGACATTATTATGCCATTTCCTGCAAACTGTTTTTTCCTCTCAAATTAAAAAAGCATAAAATATCTACCATGTTACCTGTGTTTGTTGAGGACCTATATCCATGTTTCTCAGGAGGCTGTTCAGAAAGTCTGTGACACTCTCCCACGGATAAATGCTGTTTGACCCGTCAAGGACTATGACGATATCCAACTGTGTTTTACACTCTGCAACACAAATTTCCACAAAAGAATTGACAGTAATAAGGATCAGACTTACCTCACAGCCTCAGCTACTTTTGTCATTAGTAACACATGTATATCCTTCTGCAGTGGGGCTGAATTAACATGTGTGATGCCAACTATCATTCTTCAACTTCTACACTGTATTTCACATGGCTTTTGTTCCCTTTATCAGGAAGGGATTTTCTTCAGAGCAGAAATTCAAGAATTTAATCACATAACTGGAGTATTTACCAGTGACCCCCTATCTTCTTCAGTGTCAATCTATTCTTGTACAATTTTTTTTTCAAACGACCAGTTCTTTAAGATTTTTATGTATATTTCTAAGCTGGGTTTGTATTAGGTCTTAATATGCCGTCATTATTTAAAAGGAATCTTTTGGCCATAAGTTAAAAACATAAGCAACTATTTTTAGCAATTGTGTTTGGATGTTACATAGCACTGTAATGATTGTTTATACTGAGATAAATTCCAAAAGTAGGAAGAATTTAGGTTATATACGGACAATGAAAACATTTACTTAACTTGGTAATGCTGGTAGCTAAGTTAAGCAGTTCATTTTTTTTCAGTATGCCTATGTGTATACATTTGTCTTGTTTGTCACTCTTTATTTTTGGACACACAGGAAAATTCCTGCAGCATGCATACCTTGCACAGATGGAGCAATGGCCTCAACAGTTTCAAAAGTGGAGCTGACATTAGAACAAACTCCAGTTGTGTAATGCAAACGTCCACATTTATAAGCATAAAGTGGTCCACATGCCTTTAAAAAATGAAAGAGGGTGAAATGTTTTTGTTATGATACCCGAGAAAAAAAACAGACTTTCAAAATTAGCAAAAAGTCCTTTCTTACCAGAAACCCTCCTTTTGGGTTAGTCACTAAGGTTGTTCCAAGAGTCATGTTTTCTTTTACTTCCACGACATTAGGAACTGAAGTAGAAGCTATAAATAGATTAAAATGTTAAGTATTTGGGAACATGAAAACAAAATGTTAAATTATATATCCCCTAGTATGGAGCTTCCAGCTTCTAAAATAAAACCCAGACTGACACTGGTTTCATCAAATATTTTAGCACCCTTCCCCCTCCTTCTTCAATTGCAACAATCATGAAAAATTTCTGAGACTGGCTTTTATCCCAGAAAATTTGTCTGGGTTGCTGTCTCAAATAGTTTTCTTGAACCGCAAGAAAAGAAAAAAAAGTAAAAATAACAGCAAAATGAAAACAAGATACTACTACGCACAGAATTTTGTTAATTAGGGGGAAAAGCCCATTCATTTTTACTTTGTCATGCTATAAGTAACTTAATAGCTATTCTATTTATTACTCTTATGTTACATTACTGACATTTAGGTTTTCAAGGAACACAAGGAAATAAAAAAATATCACAACTGGTATATTTAATGAGGTTCATATTCAACAGTAATTTTCTTCCAGTCTACATCAGATATCTCTTGACTTGACCAAGAAAATTATTAATATTGATCTTTGGCATATTAAGATGCATCAGCCTAGTTACATTTCCATCAAAAGCTTATTGATGGCATTATGAAGGCTCTTGGATTCAGAGAGCTTTGGGAAGTGTAATCCATGAAATTATGATTCAAGATCTTCCAGGCTCAATGGCCAGGACTGCAAACACAGTCAATTAATGTCAGTCATAATAAAGTTTTGATAATACAACCACATACCCATTCTAAAATTATGAGCATGTTTTCCACAGGATAGTGGAAAGCTTGAAATAGGCCTTGAAATAAAATTATTATTATTTTTAATGTTATTTTTAATGTTACAAACAAAACTTCCTTCACATTTAGCTCTGGAACCCCATGCAAATTTTCACTAGAAAAACATTTCCAATGCATACTTACTAATGCATACTAATAATCTCCTAAGATCTGACCTCTGTTACTCCTCCATGTGTCACAGCTTTATTTCCTTTCATACCTGGTAAATTCAGTTTCATGCAGGGTGATGGGCTGTCCCTTCCTACAGGGCATTTGTAGACATCTCCTGTTCTTTTCGCAGGTTGTCCAACTAGTGGTGAGCCAATAAGTACCCTGCAGATTAAATAAGTTACCTGAAATACTTCTTTCTAACAAGGCACAAAAGTCAGCAAATAAAACTTATAGAGGGAGCACAGCTGCAGCAAGCTCCACACTAGCAGTACAGAATGGAGAAAAAGAAAAGTATTGATTATACCAGTGCAGATGCAAGAGAAATAATAAGGACATGAAAAGGAAATGTGCCTATATGTATATATGTACCAAAGTACGGAAAAGAATAACATTTTAAAAAGTTCCAGGGGAAAATAAAAGCAATATAGGTGGGTAGATGACAAGTCTTAGGAGCAATACAGAAGGAAAGATATGCTTTATGTAATATGTCCTTGATCTTTAAAAGATCTTAGATGATTTTCCATGCTTAGAGACCAAATGCCAACAGAGCAGCTCACAAGCTCTCAGAGGAAGAATTTAGTCTTAAATAATTTGGAGCAGCACTGTAAAAGACATGTTCTTCCCTCTCATTAATTTAAAAAAAAAAAAAAAAAAAAAAAAAAAAAAGGCTATTAAAAGAAATTTCAAGTTTGTAAAATGCAGAGAAGCTGAGTGTGCCTGACATTCCCTGGAAGGTAATCAGTGGCCATCAGGTTCAGGCCGCTGGTGCTGTTCCTTTCTCAGAAAGAAAGAGTCCCATGAAGAGTGTTACATGGTCTGAAAGGATATTTTATTTTGTCTTTTTTGCATGAGGGAATCCCCAAGTTATTGAGAAACAGTTGCAGTCAGATTCAGAGATCATTTGTTGCTGGAAAGCTGTATTGGTGCCCTACAGGCAGCATTACAGCAGTAGAAAAATCCTCTCAAGGCTCTTTTGTATATTTTTAATTATGATCTTACACATTTAATCAGCTTACATATTTTCTGCTTTAAATGCTGACATGCTGAAAGGTTGACAACTTACAGGAGCTCTGAAGCTCAATTTCAGAGATGTCCAGATCTAGCACACTAGTTTATACCGCTGTCTAGCTACTGGTAGAGCCATCATTTCCAGCTCATATTACTGTTTTCTTTCTAAAGGTTTCAGGACTGTTTACAAGAATACAACTTACTTTGCAAAATCCCAGCTCCTAGAATGGATTCCATTTCCTGGAGGTCTAAATTAGCTCAAAGAAGGTCATTATTCTTATTCTCTCATGACCCTCATACAAATGTGTATTTAAACATCCTACAATTGCAGCAGTCAAGAAAAAAGCAGGCTCTGTGGCTTCATTTCTCTGAGCACGGTGTTGCAGTGGTGGTGAGACTCTCAGAGTCTGGCAGACACAGCACTTGCAGTGGTGATTGCTCACCACAGAACAGTCTGGCCTGTCTGTCACACAGCCTCCTGCTGCCTGTCCTCTATGCCTGCAGGAGTCCCTGGGTTTACCAAGAACTATAGAAAAAAGCTCTGGGAAAACCAGAGCCAGCTGTGAAGAATGATAGAGATCTCTTTCCCAAACCTTTTACCATGCAATTGTTATTTCAGTTCTCCAGTCCAGTTGTTAGCCTCTGGGGTTTAACAAGGGAAAAGCATAGGCAGGTGTTTATCAAATGACCAAGGAGCAATGGTATGAGTGAGCATGCCAAAACACAGCCTCTACTTAGAACAATAGGAAGGAAAAGAGAGGTTAAGATAAAGGGTCCCAAATGCAAATATATTACCAGCTGCAAGACAAGAATATTTAGCCCTCCAAAAGGGAAGGCAGAAGGAATAATGTAATAATTAATATTTTGACAGGTAAATCTTCCAACCAACTGAGTTAAGAAGCTCAGTTTAGAAAACCCCTGACAGAAAACTTTTTAAAAACACTTAATGCAGATTATTTAGGTAAAACAGGAGTAATTTCATTGTAAATATATTCTCAGAAGGAAATGGTAAAGACTTAATTTGGTAGATGGTAAAAACAGAACTCAGGCAAAACACAGTACTTTCTCAGCTCTGTCAATGAAGAAATTTACCCATTTTGCAAAGTCATTTACATCTTTGAGAAGATAATTTGAGGTATACATGCAGATATTTCTCTCTCCCAGTTGTTCTGGATTTCCTAAGGACTGTGCATAAGTTTAAGAAATATGCCTGACAGAAACTGACCCTAGCTTGAAACTGAAAGTATAGCACCTGAGTTATTGAATACCTTCTAATTTGGAGTGTTCAGTTAAAAAAAGAAAAAGAGCTTACCATTTCCCTTCCTCATTTTCATACTGTTGGACTGTGTACCCGAACATGTCTTCCAGAGGCCCACTGAAGGTCAGTGCATTTTTCACATCAACATTGGAAGTGCAAACAAGCTGAAAGAGAGCTTTAAAAAAAATGGTATTTTAAAAAAAAAATTAGTATGTAGCAGTACAAATAAACCCAAATACTTCTAAAAAATCAACATTCAGTTATGACTTAATGAGAGGTACAGGACATGTTGAAAGTGGCATTTGGGGCACGCACACCACAGCTTGTAAGAGGTTTAAAACAGACTGCCTCGTATATAGATACACAGCTAAATTCTCAGTTGTTAACAGCTGGACTTCTGCATCCAAAACATGTTTTACAAACTCCCATCACTCATTCTAAAATCAATTCTAATGACAGTAAGTTAAACACTATCACCTTTAAGTATAAATAACTTTTTAGTTATTTATCTAGTTTAATTATTCTTTTACCTCCATTCATTTCTAAAGCAAGAATTTAACACAGAATGTTCCGTCCCTCTTTCAAGAAAGTAGTTCTAAGGTTATTTAAACTGGAAAATAACTAATTTTTAACAGAAAATTTTTGCAGAAAAACCACATAGGAAAAAATGAGGAAAAGCTTTCAGATGTATTTAATTTTAATCTATATTAAAGAAAAAAAAAGTATATAGTTGTCTCTTAATTCTATGGAACCATATCCTGATTTCATATAGTACCTATATGTGATTATTTGCAGAATTCCAATACTTGTGCATTTAGGAAAAGTTGCTATACAGTGGTGATCTTGGACTATGGAGAGTTCAGTCAAGAGAGTGAGTCCTTCTTCTGGCTGATTTCCCATACCCTAAAGTTCTGTGATCATCACCAATGAAAATACTGCAGAAGTTTGACTTTATAGCAAGTTTCAAAAAATTTTGAGATATAGGGTAAAAATTCAGCTTGAAGTGATACCTATAACCAACTTCAAGGATCATTAAGAAGAAAAACCCACTACTTATATATGAAAAATAAGGTTATTTATCTTTTCTTTATTTACTATTTCCTACAGTGATCTCTTCCGTCTTTGTCCTGTAAATCAGTTTCAAAAGTAGCCACTGACTCTGCTGCTGCAGAGCTGTATATTTAATTCACAAGAGTCAAAACTAGGTGAATTTGTAGAATATTGAGACTGCTTAAAAACACAAATATGCACAAATTTAATTTAAATTTAAAGAAGCATTTTATGATCATTTGATGACACTTAACAGTTACATAAAAATACCCAAATACCCAATACTTGCTGCATATCAAAGCATCGAAATAATGTCCAGCTACTAAAATACATCTGTGTTATTCACCATTGAGCTGACAAAATTCTCATGGAAAGCTTGTTACTATAATTAAGCTCCCAAGTGGTCAATGCTAATCTGTCTCTCTCAGCATCTTATTTCCTGCTTAATGCAGTAAAATTATCACAGAAGACCATTTATCATTCAGTAGGCATTTCCAGTTTCACTGGACAGCAAAAAAAGGGAAAAGTTTAATTTCAGTTATTTTAGTTTTTCTCCCTCCAGTCAGAGTCAGGAAATATAAATAAGTGAAAAAAAAACCTAAAAGAGAGATTAGTTCTTCAGAAAATATTCATTGCAAGTTATAAGAAAAAAATAAGCATTGACAGCCTGGTGGGAAATAATTTGTTGGAAAATCATTTTGTCTCCCTTAAATATTTATGCTAAAAATATTCTGCTGTTCTGTTCATGTGTAATAGGCATTCTCCCTTCCCCTCCCAACCCCCCCATGGCTCAGTCATTCAAGTATAATTAAAATGAACAAACCCATCTTCTAGGAATTCAGTCATCACTAGTTCAAGTCTTTTTTTGTTAAATTTCAGTAATAACTGGAATTTACTACTAAAAGAGTAAAAACATTCACTATTATTACTTTTCAAACCATATGAGAGACAGTGACCTTACATTTACACTCACAGGCTCCCTTCTAGACAGTGAAACAGTACCAATGAGTCACCTGCTAAAGTAACTGTCTAAACTCATTATTTAGCTCAGGAAGAAAGGGAGAAGTAAAATATACCCATGTCAACTTCTCTCTTAATTATCTCCACAAGTCCATTCACTTCAGCCTCTGAACAAGGACAGATCATCCTTCTAGAGGTCTTTAGAGGCATGCTCTTCCCCTTTCTCACCTCATGATGGTGTTCAACACATACCATGATATGAAATACTAAAGTCCAGAAATGCCAGCCCATTTGCTTTCTCCTAAAGCAGCCAAAGGTTACCTGTGCACCCTGTACTCCGTTCACATGATATCCTCCACCATCATTTCTATCCTCTGCTGATACACAAGGAGTTCCATTACAGTGATGTAGTACTGACAACCATGGTTTCTTACTCTGTAGTCATTACAGGAAATGGTCTTGAAGTTTCCTGAATTGGTTATGAAACATTCACAAATCTTGTAATTTTAATGCATGTGTTTCTAAACCTCAGTTATCACAGCTGAAAATATGAAATGCTAGTAACTAAACCAGAAGATGAATTAAAAATGCCAGTGATTTACTACCAAGTACCCAAATCCTCATGCTTCTGAGTGAGGTCAAATTAGAATCAACAATAATAATGCTTTCTTCTAAAATAAACAAAGCTAGAAGAACCAGAAGAAGCTAAATGGGCCAGACTGGTCAGAAATAAATTGAGGTGGTGACTCCACACAGCAAAACAAACCTGTAGACCTTGTTGGCAAAGAATATTTTGGAGGCTAAATGTAATGAGCTCAATGGGGATCTTAATAGCTCAATGGAAGACAAAACCAGTTTACAGTTTACAACCCACACAGAATACACATCTGGTTCAGGAAATCCCTTTAGTTGCAGATACTTGGAAACTGGAACAGGAATGTTACATATGATTGCATGGTTACTTTTTGTATGTAGCTATCAGCTTACATGTGCTCCCGAAGACACAATACTGGACAAAACATGATCTTGATTTGATAAAAAATATGTACAGTATGGCTGTGCTTTTACTCTCTCATCTTCCCCTTCTATCTTAGCCAGAAGTCAGACGCTTTGAAGTTTGACTTCATACACAAACTGTTTGGCATATTTTAATATGCAAATTTATTGCATGGCCTTCTCTGTGTCCTGTGTGCTTTTTGAAACATCATGAGCATATGTTTTTGCATTAAAATAAGGGTCATGATAAGCAGTGTGAAATTAACGTACAAATAATTAATGTATTTAGAGGTAGCTTGCTGCATTTTCCATAGATCCTGTAAAAGGAAATCTTACAAGCCAAAGTGATGTTCAAAACTGCAGATGGTAAACGGAAAAGCGGAGTTTAAAGTGACCTACATTACACATGTAGCTAACAATAATCTACTGATGTATGGCAACTTGGCTTTCGTGCTTTATTTCAATTTTTAGTAGACAGAACACTGTACCCAGGAGCTAATGATTCAGAACATTTAAAAATATTACTGATTGTGACTGTGAAAATTATATTATTAACAATATCTAGCTTGAACTCCTTCAAACTTCCAGTTTCTGTATAAGATGGTATGTATTCTGTTTCTGGCTAACTTGTGCTTTAATTAAGAAAAGTATTGGCAGAAGCAGTGGAAAAAGAAGAACTACAGGGAAGTTGGAGATTATTCTCTTCAGAAGTATGGGAATTAAAGAGAAAATCCATTCTCTTATAAGGTACATAGTATTTTACTTAATCACAAATTATGTAAATAAATTAAGATTTTGAACTATTTCATTTTATGTTATCAGAATGATTGCGAACAGACCAAAAGCGACTGATACAGTCCATAAATGCAGAGTATGAAAGTTTCTCTAAGGTTAAAACTGAAGTTCCAGTTTTATCTCCATCTTTTACAAGAAATGAGGCACTGCAGAAAACCTGGGACAAAGTCCCTCTCATTGCTGACTTACACTGAGCAGAACATGAGCTGATGCATGTACCATTCTTTGCTTAGCACAGCTTGTACCTATACATGAAAGGTTAACACTCAGTCACCAAGACGACAGCACAAATATTATTTGAATTACAAACCTGGAGTAGTAGCTCATACTTGTCCAGTAGCCACTAATAAATTCTTTTCTGTTTTATTTAATGAGTTCTTTTAACTAAACATTTGCACTGTCTGGATAGTTATTCTGCCTCCAAACCATGCAAAACCAGACTTTTCTAGGACTTTGGGTATCTTGTTCACAAGCATATTGCCTGGCTGGCCACTCTAATCTTACAAATACAGAATTGGCACCCTTATTTTCCTAAAAAGGTGGATATAAACATAACCCAAACTGTAGAACAAAGCCTAACACCTGGTTCTTTACTGATGAAAAATAGATCACCATAAATCACCCACAATAAATGACATCACAAAGACCAACTTAGACAAGAGAAGAAAATAAACTGAGTTAGGATATTTTAACTGTGTATGGTCTGTGACAAATAACAATTGCATCCTCTATAAATAGAGATTACCTGGAGAAATACAAATGTTTTCTTTCAAAAACAGGAAAGGACAAATTTACACTTAGCATTGGACAAGGCTAACATATTGCCTGTGCACTACTACTCCCTGACTGCATGTGGTCAAAAGTTATTTTTGTTTCATTTCATACTTTTCACACTTCAGATGTTTTTATCAATTCATCTGCATTTTGAGGGAGACTGAAACAAAACAGCTCTAGGTGCATCAAGGAGCACCCCAAAACAAGTAGAAACTTTTTTCATAAGTATGTACATTTGGTAAATGGTGGGAAATTAAAAAAAAAAACCAAAAAAACCCCACAGTTAAAAAAATAAGACTGCTTTCATCCTGGAATATAAGAGAGAATGCAGAAATTTAAGCTGAAGACTAAAGTAAGATTGAAATGCTTTATGGGGTTCTCGTATACTGAGATATCTTGGAAAATAAATGAAAAGAAAAATTGCCTTAATGTTGGTAGAGTGGGTATTACAAACAATGGTGTTGTAAAGATATTTTAAAAACCTGCAAACAGAACAGGTGTGCAGTACAGCAACAGGGAACTGTGCATCAAAATGTATTGAAAGTTAGGTGATATTAGAAAAGATGTCCTAATTGTAAGATAACAATCATCTGCCTTTAA